TGGTGTCTAATTTAACCTTTACTAATCAGTTCTAATAGATGTAATTAGAATATAAAGTCCGTCAACAACCTGTATTATATGTTATAACTCTCCACATGCCCCTGTGCTAAAAATAGGACCAAGCGACTTTTAATACATTAACAAAAACGGGGCGGGACACTTTGAGAGGGGCGAAAGAGGTCATAGGGAGCTATGGTATAAAATTTCATTACAAAAGCTCAAAAGCTGTTTAAGATATCGCCCGGAAAAGAAACTGTTACACACAGACAGAATGTATGAATTTATAACCTTGAACTTTGATATTTTGACCTCAAAATCAATAGGGTTCTTTTTAGGCCATAGGGAGGAGTTGCTATGTAAAATTTCATTGCGAAAGCTCAATTGGTTCTCAAGATATCGCGCGGAAACGAAAGTGTTACAGGCAGACAGAAATACAGACGGACGGACGGACAGACAGACCGAAAATAATATCCCACACTTTCAGTGAAAGCGGGGGACAACAATAAGAGCATATACAGCTCTAAATGATTTACAGACGCTAGTTTACTACGATCAGGGAGAGTTTATTCCTGTAGGGACCAGTAGCATGGGGTACTTTTGAGATTTGTCAGCAGACAGGAAGCATCCAAGTTGTTCTATACTCATACCAACAATCTCATATATATATATATATATAGAGTTGCTTTCAAGAGTAAATATTTTCGTTAACAACGTGTTAATCTTCTAGTTAAACCACTAAATGATAAAACATGATACACTTGTGCCAAACTTTATTAAACTTTTGAAGAGTAGCATATTTTGGATTTTCATTTTAAGTAACAATGGCAACATCGTTCGTCAAAATCAAAAACCAGTTAAAATGTTGTTAACCTTAGTTTATACTAAATGTGTACTAAGTTTTATAAATATCCCAATATAACTCTAGGATTAGCAAACAATAGAACATAGGTCTTTGTTGTCAAAAGAGTCTCTCGCGAAAACATAAAACCTGAAACAAACAAGTATGAAATGATTTTTTCAAGCCTATGGAAATTTACTTAAGTTTTGCATATTGCTGTCAAGCGAACCAGTGTATTGTCGTTATTTCCAGATAATCGGCGTGTGAAGTATAAATAATTCCAAACTTGTACTAAATCACTATGTTGTTAACGGCGAGCAAAGAAAAATAACAAATAATGACGTGCATGTATTCCTATCGTAATTGCCTGCCATTTTTTCAATGTTTAATCTGCGCACACTTTGAATTTGCTGCCTTGAAAATACAGTCGTTGCATTCTAGGGTTTATATTAAGGCAGAAATGTTTGGGAAAATGAGTTTTTGGTGTGAATAGTTTGAAGACCCTGGAATTTATGTATTTTGGTATATAATGCCAAAGGATGAGATATAATATAACCCTATTTATTGCTTCAAAATATCATATGTCTTTCTAGAAAATGCAAGAGTAAAAGAAGAAACAATTTAAGATAAATAATCTAACTATCCAAGGATCTGAGAACACCTGTTTCACAAATTTGGTAATTGCTAAGTAAAAAAGTGAAAGTAGGGTTTATAGTCTACATTAATTGCCCTGCACAACTTCTACAATTTACCCCTTGGTGAGACCTGTACTATCATAGCATTTCTAGCCCCCTTCCGGGGGCATAAAAGCAGAGATGCCACATATATAACGCTTATGCTTTTACATCCACATAACCAGGTCGTCTTATATACATTTTAACCTGTGAATTGATAGGGTGCACCAGTAAAGTAACTTGCTCAAGGTTTTAATGAATTTGCAGAGTCTCAGAGATCGACTGGACTCGAACCCGGTCGACTGGATCCGAAGCTGTCCACGCTAACCACTGCTCCATTACTTCTACCACAGTAACCCCTCATACTGGTCTTTACTTGCTTAAGTAGTTCAAGTGTACTTAATTTTATCAGTTTACTATAGACTCATCGTGACCTTGGGGTCCGAATTCTTGCGGAAGGGACATAAATTTAAAACCTTCTTTTTAAAATTTTTAAAATATTTTCTGTGAGTAAAGATTTTCAAAAGTGTAATAGCCAACTTACCCATACAATTTCACCAGTTTAGTCTGAACCAAGGCCCAAAATACATTAGACATGCACAAACTGGTTATTATCGTTTAAAGATTAATTGAATGTGCTGATTAAAATCAAACAAACTTTTCCTGCTCGATGAAATTTCAATATATAATCCAAGAAACCCTATCCAGGGGCATGAATCCTAGACCAAGAGGCATGACGTTTACAATCAAAAAAAAAAAAAAAAAAATAATAAATATACTTACTTATTGTGATCAGACAAACGCTTTGCCTGCTAGCTCTCAATTAGAAATGATGAAGATTATTTAGGATGTATTTTTAACATATGACCAATTTAGTCCCACCCTAAGCCCTGAACAATCGACACAGAGGCACAACTTTTACCATTTTAGCAAAGGGATATTAACCTTCTTTAATCATACAAACAGTATGCCAGAAAAAAGTTTCTGAGAAAATATGATTTTTGAGATTGGTAAAAATTAATCTTAATACATTCCGAATTTATCTCATCTTTGGATCTGAACCATGGACCCATGGACTTTGGTAGAGAGCTAAAATGTTATAATAATCATGCTAACAATTTTCCTGTGTGTGGGACCCCCGAAAAAAAGAGCATTCTTTATATATCTGTACCTCAACGATACTCTGGAGCCTGAACAATGGACACTATGAGCACATTTGCATGAATTACACACATTGATAGAGGGCTAAGTGTTTACTATAATTAAGAAAAGAGTTTTCCTTCTAGATGCCGATGAAAAAAAAATACATATACGAGGGTTCTCCCAGAAAAAGCGACTTTTTAAACATCTCATAAACTACCAGACCAAATTAGTGGGGATGATATTTTCGTTATTTTCACTTAATATCATGGATTGTAATACTACACGTAAATAGAAACCAACTTTTTATTAATTCATTAATATAACGTACTGTGGATTCCTTATTTTTCGCGAGAACTTATTATCGCGAAATGACTCTTAAAAGTCAAATCGCGAGAACAATAATTTGCGAATAAACGGTTGATCAAGGGATTTTACATTGATTTCAGCACCATAAAAATAAAAGCGAGTAATTTAATTTCGCGAGTGGTGCTTCTCGCGTAATTAGGCGATAATTAATTCCTCGCGTATATTCAGGAATCTACAGTAATAAATGGCAATTATATAACGTTATATGAAAACACATTTTCGTTGGATATTGGCAAAAATGGCGTCGTCGGACCTTACTGCTGCGCACCAAATTATCATTTAGTACTGTATTGAGTGTGTTATGACACCTTTTCATCCGGGGAAAGAGATGGAAACAATAGAGTGAAATAAATAGGTGCCTCATACACTGGTATGTTCCTGACACAAGAGATTCAAGGATGGCTAGACTAGTTATTCGAAGGTAGAGGTGTTTGGTAGACCCCCCCCCCCCAAAGATGACAAACTGAAAAGTTGGGAGCATACCATCATAAGTGGAAATATCCGTTTAGCTACTCGAGTAGTTCATGATAAGGCTGTTGTCTTTTAAAGAATAAATTTTGCGATCTTTTGATGCCTATAGTGTGTCCAACATGGGTAATTTGCTTACCAAATGAAAAGAAAATGTAGTGTTGAATCTCTGCGTCAACAAGCTCTTTAAGATTCTAAGAAACGAGGTACAATTCCTGAACAAATTTACAAAGACCACAAATAACGTTTTGACGTCGTGGATGTTCTACCGACAGCTACATGTATTATTAACACATTGACCGTATTAGCGTTTTTCTGAGACGACCTTCGTAATTATGTATATCTTAAATATAAGATCAATTTAGCCCTATCTTGGGCGTGAACTATGGACATTAGATTAATAAATTTAACATTTTTGTTGAAAGATTTACTCAAGCAAATAATATGCCTGTTTGATACCCGTAAGAGAGAGGATTTTCAATCAATGTAATCATACTTAATACATGACAAACACACCACACCTCCAGAACGAATGAATCATGTGTTCTTAGTGGTTTGTATAATATTATGTCTACATCCAAATTTATTTAATGCAAATTTTGTTTTATCTCATTCCATTTTTTTAATCAAAAGGATAATATAATCTTCTTTTAACAATCTATAAAACTTCTATTAAATGTTTTGAAAGAAGCAAAGGTTTATCTAAAAACATTGACCCAGTATAATTTAACAAATTCCTTTACACTCCAATTTACGGAAATGTTATTTGTCAAAACGTACTGAGTTTAGAAGTACAATAATGACAGCTTTTTAGGAATCTGGTAAAAATCTTGAACAATAAATTTTTGTAACGGAATGTTTTATCATTCCATAAAAAAATTGAATGACACAAGAGGAATGTGTACAATAATGTGTGATGAGATTTGTCTTTACTAAATGTAGTACCTGAAACTTTTTATCTCTTACCTGAAAATGGATTCAGTTAGACAATCCCATACGTAAGTGTTTATGCTTACAATATATAATTATAAAAAAATGTCTACAATATCTATACCGGTTCATTTTTTGGACAAATAGAATTTAATTTATACGTGGAACAAAACAATCTTATGTTCCCTTAAATATTCATGACTTGTTTGTTCACAAACGATGACTGAATTTATACTGAAAAATTTGCAGTAAAAGCGAATAAACTTATTGACTATGGTACTGTATAAGCAGAATGTTTATCGAGGACTCAATGTTAGCATTATTAGAAATTATTACTCTACTTCTAATGCGGAAGCAATTGTCAGCAATATTTAATATAGTGATCAACTAATATTAAATATTACTGACAATTGCTTGCGCGAGTTGTCTTACCTGGTATTAGAAAATCACTAAAATCAGTTCTTGCTCAAAGTGATGACAAATCGCTAATTTAAATCTCGCTAAAACTTCGTTTTATAAGGTAACTAATAATATACTCAATTAACATACACATTCCAAATTTTCCTTTAATCATTTATAGGATGGTGGACTTAGAGAATATATCAGCGTTTGTGTTCCTCAGACTGTGTCATGAAGTGGGGACGTCATCGGAAGTTGGAGCCAGGAGAGATGTGGTGGACCTTAAAAATACACTGGCAAATAAAGCAAGAATAAATCATGACAACGTTTTCATGACAAGTGGAAGTCGCAGAGAAGGTTTCAGAATGATGGACTCAGACGTAGACGTTATGTGCTGGCCAGATAATTACCGTGTGATCTGGGACGTTCATCAATCACAGTGTTATAACATACACATGAAAGAACTGATTCTCTGTGATTGTTCCGAAAGCCCACCAGGATTCACCTTGTTATATTTACTGTCACCAAGATTGTATAGTGAAATCCATGGAGCTTGTGTTAGAATGAAAAACAGACATTATATATCTAGTTCTAAACACAGAGAGATGATGTGTTTTGCAGAACCACAGAGCTCCACTCTCCATGGACCTTGTGTGAGTAGATTTCATGGAATTCTAGGATATGATTTTGCTCACTGTCTTGCATCGGATATTTGGCCTCCGTCTGCTTCCTCATGGATAGACAGAAGTAACTCATGGCCTCAATACCATATTGTTCATGATATAGTAAAAAGTGGATGTCACTTTGTAGCAGTTGGACATAAACTAGGAAGACATGAACATAATGAATGGAGAATTTCTTTCTCTCTGGCAGAACAAAAACTTGTGTACGCAATGAACCACTGCCAGTTCTTAACTTACGGCCTGCTTAAGTTGTTTTTAAATAGAATAATAAACAATGGATTAGGCGATGATGATAAATTACTGTGTTCCTATCACATCAAGACTGCAGTTTTCTGGGTCATTCAACAAAATATGATACCTTATTGGTGTCCACATACTGTCCTTTACAGTTCCTGGGTCTGTTTTAAACTCATCCTCAAATGGGTATATGAGGGAGTGTGTCCTAACTTTTTCATTCCAAGTAACAACATGTTTCTGAGTAATATTTATGGTGAAGCCCAAAATGTTTTATTTATAAGATTGTATGAGCTGTATAAGATTGGTATAAGATCCATGCTAGACACTCTCTCCATTATGTCATGTAGTGGATGCATTGCTTTCCTGCGTGATCCAAGTTTTTCCCGCTGTGCAGATGAAAATATCAAGTTTTCTGAGGCTGATTTTGATGTCAAGTTATTTAAAGAAATAGAGAGCAATGACTCGCTACCCGCATTAAACGTACAAGGATGCCTAAATTATCTACAATACAATATATTAGAACGGACGATTACTACACCCCTGACACAGTATCAAGTCGGTGTGCTACAGACATTTACAAACTCTGTCCTCCAGAATCTAGCTTTTGTATTACATATGAATACTTATTCACAAGAAAACAAACTTAAATACAGAGCTGACAAAAAGTCCTGCCACATTCTTAAATTAGCAGCCAAGTTTGGTTGTATTTCAGACATGCTGTATATAGCCATGTATTATTACACGACATTAAGATACAAGGAAGCATTATATATCATAGAGGTGACAAAGATTAAACTAGCAAAGTCATACGTGATGCACAATTATAGTGTAGATGGGGAGAGGTATACAGAGGCTGTGGGGGGTCAATCCTGGTCTACAAAGATGAGACATGCTGTAGCATGGGATCTAAAACTTAATAACAAAATTATATACATCAGTGAATTGATACCAGAACAACATTCTAGTCAACAGAACAATGTGCCTTTTTTATATGTTCCACCCTTCGTTATGTTATACATGCTAGAAGTTTTCTGCTACCAACATATAGACACAATCAAAGCACAAGAAGCTTTAGATGATCTACGGACCCTGATTCACTATGATCAAGGACAGTTTATAACTGTACTTGCCAAAAATACAGCATGGCAGATTTTAGGGATTTGTCAACAGATGACAAGAAACTTCCAGGATGCTATGTTTTCATACCAACAATCTCTAAGAGAAGATCAACTCCACAGTATACAAACTGCTACAGAAATGAGAATACAAGGAATCCGTCTGCTAAATTACTATTCAAGTTGAATAATATCAGACATTTGAAGAAGAAATTTACTTGATACATTTTTTAATCGGTGTTTTTTTTTTTTTTTTTTTTTTTTTTTTTTTTTTTTTTTTTAATAGTGAATCGTAAAATTATCTTCATAAAGTTTATCATCAATTTATTTTTTTGACTAAACATTTGCTTTAAAATAAAACTGCACATTTATCATTGTACATAGTTAAATAATGTGGTTTTGCTGCCATTAGAAGCATAGCAAACTGTAGATTCCTAATTCCTTATTATCGCGAAATGTCTCTTTAACGTTTAATCGCAAGAACAATAATTCGCGAGTAGACGGTCGATCAAAAGATTTTGCATGGATTTTAGCAGCATAAAAATAAAAGCGAGTGATTTTATTTCCCGAGTGGTGTTTCTCTCGAAATTAAGCGATATTTTATTTCATATATATTTAGGAATATACAGCATGTCCACTAAAAGGAATGAAATGCTTACATAAGAAATTCATGTTTTTAAGAAATTTATGTTCCTAACTGCGTGATTTCTTTCTTTATTTTTTCATTGTATAGTATATAAAGTAAAGAGTAAATAATCTTCTTTTCTCCATGTAAGTCATGAACCAGATGATGCTTCATAATTATGACACCTGTGAACCAAGGTTTAGTAAAATGAATTAAGGTTGTGCAGGAGTAGCGTATCGAACGAACTTAAAAGAAATTTTCAATTTTAGTATTAAAATACATTTGTGGTAACATTCTTTTGTTTGAGCGGTCTATCATTTGCCGAGAATGACGAGCTGCAATTCGCATGTAAAACAGATTTTTTTTATATTTTGTATATGTTCTCCCTCCCGTAACTCTGGGTGATAAACATTATCATATATCATACTTTCATGTGAATTAACTGAATCTGATTCGTTGAGAAATATTTTTTAAAAACACTATTACCCGCTGAATGATGAAGCCACACCCTAGAGTGTATCAACAGTCAACATTGCTTGATGACGGGTGATATTCCAAAAAATAGTGACTGCGCAGAATTTATGCGCGCTAGGTTCACTGTTATATGACTACGCCTCGGTTGACAATGGTTTTCTTGGGGTGAAAATTTTCAATGTTACACTCAACTACATGCAATATTTATATATTAGAATATGTTACAAAGTTATATTAAAAAAGACAAAAAATGTGGAATTACTGGGTTACTAGCACCCTCACGTCGGGTACTCTACACACTTAGCTATCCAGAATAACTTTCACATTGCCGTACTTAATAAGACTAAAATTTATTTAAAATATATAAATCCAATAAGATATGTCTAAATCATTTATTAACAAACAGTAATAACGAGCATTTAAAGAACTGAGAAGAACTTGGACTTTAACTTATAAGGCCTAGATAATTCCAATACCATTAGTAAAAATCAAGAAAAATCAATAAAAAATATCATGTATCTTAATTCATTTCATACGTGAGATGGATACTATCCATAAGATAAACATGTATTTATACTTTATCCACGTATGTTATATCAAGAGCACTTACGGTTTTGATACAATCCCTTGCTTCAGGATGTAAATTTATTGAAGTTCTATGCGTCAAAATTCTTGCGATATAAAAGAAATCATAATGAGCATTTTTTTGTCTAAATAGAGAAAACATTCATAATATCTCAATGAAATGTCAAATTTTATAAATTATCGTACTGGCTGAGTACTGCAATGAGAGATGTCTCCCCCTCCCCCGACTGTTTCATAAGTAACGTTAGGCCTAGCATTTAAGTTTATGATGCAAGATTCCTTTGACCATATAGGAAAGTCTAGTCTCTTTAAACAATGCTTTCTTGAATTATACTCTAAGAATTTTTAATATTAATCTGGTAAACTTGAATGAAAAACAAGCAGATGACTGAGTCTGTATGAAAATGTACGAAAATATCATTCAATTTTATTATATCTACACTAGACAAAATTGCTAACGCACCACTTAAATAAATTAACATTTTTCTTTTCAAAACTTGTTGATGATGTTTTTGATATATAATTATGTTACTTTAATAAAAAAATGAGACATTTAAATGTTTTAACTGATAGATAATAAGAATGTTTACTGAAGCGTAACCACTTCATATAAAAAAATTAAAATCATTTCCATACTTTTTTGGTGGAATAAATTTCTATTTTATTTCTTTGTGGTTGTGTTCTTTATGTTTGTACAAATTAAAAACTCAGAAAAAAAGTTATAAAGTATGCGGTGTTTGACTCTAGAAGAGCGTGCTAAGGCAGCCAGTATGGTGTCTGCAGTGGGTTCCTTCGACGAAATTCGTGAAGATTAAATCAATTAAAAGATTATGCATTTCTCTGATGGAAAATTGTTGAAAATGAATAAACAATCATAAAAATGTTTACAATAGATAGCGACGGCATTAAGTAAGCACCACACAATAACTTCAAGAATGTTCCTCAAAATTGGGTGGATTTGGTAGGGACACTAAGGCACTGGATGACTACTAAGCGATATGGTCGTCAATCAGGATATATTATTTGATTTTTAAGTGAGAGACTGCTCCCATCGCAACCTCACGGACCACCATCGGTAATCACCAACTTCATATCTTGGCAAAAACGGTGTGCATTGCACGTCGGGAAATTGGTTTTCGGACAAGAAGATCCTTTAAGGGTCTTGAAATGACACCAAGACATTTGTCAATCCAACTGTTTTGGAAAAGATGACTTATTTTATATATTAGTACCAATCAGGAAAATGATCAATTCACAAATAAGAATAAGTGGTGAGTTAGCAATTTTGCCTAGTGTACATGCATGTAAATGTTCAAGTTATACCTGTGGTGTAAATAAGATGGAAACATAAAATGATTTTAATTTTGTTTAATAGAGGATATTTTGGACTGTGTCAAAAAGGTGAAAATTCCTATTGTTTGTGTGAAACCTATCAATTGTCTTGAGAAAAATCAATATTCGTATGCACAAAATGTTTTTATTATTTCATTTGCCATCGGGTATGGTGTCTATGAAACTGACATGGCCTTTTGGTTTTGCTTTTTTTTTGATAGCTGAAAACATTAAAAACTGATATTTTTTTTTTATTTTGTAATTATGGATATCTCCAACATACAGATACAAAAGTTTCACTGACAAGCTGTCCAAAATATTTTCCCTATACATTTCACACAGTATGATCTAATACCAACTCATAACAGATGTTTCTCTATCACTTGAAATCTATTTTTCTAACAATTATCCTAGTGGCATAATTTAATTTGTCAATGTTTTAATATTTTTACACTGTAACCATGCTTTCACAAGATCAATAAATGTGAAGTGCTTATCTCTTTCCATGACGCTACTAAATCGTTTGTTTAAGATCAACTTTTTACAGATAATCCGTTTCCTCTACATCTGATACACAGTCTCTATCATTCAAATACCTCCTGTGTCTTTACATCACGCATGCACAGTTCGCTTCTGACATATTTCGTGCTTCCTCCAGCATTTTAGCGTTTATTCTTGAAGTTTCCCGATGTACACGAAAAATTCTATCGTCAACTTTTTTTTCCATGAGATTTACCTATCTTCTGATTTCTTCTCAATAAAGCAAACAATTCAAATCAATGCTTAATTTTCAAAATCGATTTGCCGGAATGGGTAAAAAAAAAATTCTTCCTGGAGGTTAAAAAAAATTGAGTCGGGCCATTTTTAGCCAGTAGGTCGGGAGAGGGCAACCAAACAATTTTTAAAGATGGTCTTCACTAATATAATTTAGAATATAAATCTATAGCGCAATTAGTAATTTGAAACGTCTTGGATTTGTTTGTTTTTGCACCATTTCATAGAAATATAACTACAGACTTTATTCGTTATTTAGTGTACTGTTTGGAAATAAGTACAGTTTTACCTGCTCCTCGATCCAATTTCGCATTATTTAATCCTGAATATCTAATACATGGTCATATTTTAAAATTTTTATTACACAATATTCGAATTTATTTTGGAAACATATCTACCAAATTAAGATATAATATGACGTCAAGTAAAAAAGAATGCTTTGGATAAAGATAAGTATAATTTTTAGCCAATTGTAGTTCTTAACTTTTCTTACTTTCCATTTATTCTTGTCTTGCTTTCCAATTTATTTTATTTAATTAACTTTATGAAAACATGCTGAATTCTATTAAAGACAGCTGCTGAAGACCTTGGTAAAATTTCTAAAAATAATAAATGATTGTTAATTGAGGAACGATTTCGAATACCATTTGATAATTTATTTTAAATGATACAAGGGGTTTATATAAAATAAAATGTCATTAGAAATATTACCGACATCTAATCTCTAAAAATGGACTCAATTAGAACTTCCCAAACGTGTTTTTATGACAGCAATAATTATTTTTATCTAAAAATGCCTAAAACATCTGTATCATTACAATTTTAAGCTTATAAACAGATGGCACAAAACAATTTTTTTAAAGTGTCTTCCTTGTAATTCTTCAAATATTGAAGGACTTGTTGACAACAATGATTAAAAATTTTCACTCAAATGTATCGATTAAAATTCAAATTAACTCATGATAAAATTATAATAATTAATTAAATCCACTTAATGTATACTAAAAAGATATATTTCCCTTTACTCAGCTATGTTAAGGAAGAAATGGAAAAAGCGAACTTAGTACATTCTTAATAGGTATTATTTTTTAGAAGTCTTTGTAACAAAGTAATTGTAAACATGTAGGAAAGGTAATATAGATACCCATATTAGATAGGTTTGTGGCTTACTTAGTACCAGTTACATCGCATGTATCAGCTGTGTGTCATGTGACTGGTATAAAAAAATAGAATTGTTCAGCTGAATGTAGAAAATGAGGCTAGTGCAAGGGCATGTGCATGTTTTTGGAGAAAGAAATTGATACATATTAAAAAAAGATTTACATCGGGATCCTGAAAAAAGCTGGGAGCTAGTTTGAGCTGTTTCGGAAATACTCGTAATTTTGCTGAAAGTGCAT